GAAGCAGGTATCTCTTTGATTTTGGTAAGGTTTAAAGTAAAATAAGCTAAATGATTCTCTCAGCTGATGAAACCTAGCAGTCCTGGGTGCTAGTCTCTTGCCTTCCTGCTCTGATTTGCTGAGATGACCGGTCTGGCTCAGTAGATTTGGTTGAAATGTTCCTTCGAAACTGGCTTTAGTTTAAAAATTGCAGGATGGAGACATTTTAAGCCAAAACATTTTTGATTTTTTTTAACCTTTGAAGTGTTTTACCTGTGAAGTATACAAACCAGGGCTTTTTGAAAAACTAAGTTTAGGTTCAAGTTCTCATTCACCCCCAGGTTTCTATTCATTTCTTCCTCCTTTTTTTTTTCCTTCCTTTTTTTTTTTTCATTGTATCATTAAAAAGGAGAGGGAGGCAAAGGGAAAACAAAAATAATGGAAAAAATGCTAAAATATCCATATACTAGGTTTTGTCTTTTTGCATAAGCAACTTTGTGGAAAAGTTGTGTTTATTTCTTGAAGTATTTCAAAAGAAAGAACATTTTTAGCTGTATACTTTTTTCACTGTGGTATTTCCTGCTGCTCACTCATCAGATTAAGGTTAATACTTGTATGACCCTGGAATAAAAGGACTACAGTGTGTCCTTAGCAGAATTAGCATAGGGGATGCCTTGTCACTCAGCTATTGAAGGAAAGGTAGAGTGCAATCATTTTGTTTTGGGCAGGGAAGATAAACAGTTACTGCCTGTGTGCCACTAAACATAAAGGATTGTTCTGCAAGTGGCAGTGGAGGAAAGGGAGTTTTGTGCTTGTGTCACAGGAGGAAAAGGATTACTGTGCAAACGATGCTAGAGGAAAAGGATTAGACTGTACGACACAGAGAAGAGAGGTCATTGTAGATGCGTCATGAGAAGAGCAGCATGGTGCAACAGAGGTGGAAAGGACTCTTTGGAAGTCAAAAAGAAAATGAAAAAGAGAAGAGGGACTACTGTGGTGCAAGAATGACTGGAAGATAAGTTTTCTTGTGGGCAAAAACAAGTAAAGAAATAAATAAGTGGCTGAATTGCGAAGCAGAGGAACACAGTTTATTTCACAGCCAAGCACCTAATTTTTTCTAGAAAAAAAGGCCTCATCTCCACAAAGTGCTATACCACTTATTAGTTTAAAGGCATATACTAGTTTCACAAATATTTTGGACAGTCATTGAATAACAGTTTCTCAGAGAGATTCTCTGTCATGTTGACCTCAGCTTCCCTACCAACAGAGTTGTCTCTTTCTGAGATTTTTTTTGGTCTCTTTGATGAAGAGTGCCTCACAAATCACCATATCCTCCTGCAAGAAATCACCATATCCTCCTGCAAGAATCAGAATTTTGTTCTCAGAGATGCACAGAGTAAACCACAAGTAAGGCAGTGTGTGACATGCAAGCACTGTAGGTCTGGTGAGCTTCCAGTGCTTTTCTTCCTGGTTAGGCTTTCCAGTCTCCCTGCTCTAAGACAGATGGTTCCCATCTACATGTAAATAGAGAAGCACTGCAAGCCGAGGCAGAAGATTTTATGTTTCCTTTAAAAAAAAAAAAAAATCCTATTCCTTCACAAAAGTAACTGTGAAGCAAAAAGTTTACGCTCTCCTTATGACAGTGGGGAGCAATATTTCAACTGTTTACTCTATCCAAGTGCAAATTCATATTTTCATCACATCACAACACCAGCTGGTGTTGCCTCTGGTTTAGCTGCCATTTTGTAAGAAATTATAGGTGATGGCATGTGTTTGGGGTTAGGGCTTTGGTGTTCTGCTTTGTTTTTGTATAATAAGAAAGAGTAAGGAAGATGTGAAAATGTGAGTTATTTCTACTCTAATTATGCCAGGTTCTGGTTCAAGACTTCTCCATTGTTTTGAGGGTGGTTGGCTGGTTTTCACACAATGATCCTGACATACAGTTAATCATAACGAGTCACCCTCAAACGCAGTGCAACACTTTGTACCAGGAACAGCATTTCAGAGAAGGTGAAGCTGAGGTGAAATGGATTCCTGCTAATTGCCCTGATTGCAAGAGTTATTCCATGATTGAGTTTGGTCTCTGATGTTAAAGGAGGTAGCTGCTAATTGCTTTTAAGGAAGATCCAGAAAAAGGAAAGGGAGCTGGATAGTAACTCCCAGCCCAAGCATACACACACACACACACACACACACACACACACAGATAAGCACTGCTAATCTTTTTGGGAGTATGGTATGTGGGAGGATGTGCAGGTCAAACTATGCAGGGGCTTGGAGGGGGATACGCGAACAACCAGTGATGGAAAACGTGTTTCTGTATGTCCGTTCGTTTCGTGC